GTAAATCTGGCCCTTGAGCTTTTTATTGTAAGATTAAGTGTTGTTTTTTTGTTTTTTTTCTGACTGCAGATCAGCAACAGGATATCTGGCTGTAGCATCATAAATAAGCACTGACCCTATAACCTCCCTCTACAATGGCCTGAAACATAGGACGACGCCAAACATGAAATGAACTGGATTTTGTGACAGACCACATTCATCAGTGATTTATCTGTATTCCTGTCAACCTCAATTTCCTTTTCTCCTATTTCTTAAACTGTCTACTTTAAGCGTATTCCATTAGTCCTATCAAGGTCAACTTTGCACTGATTAGCAATTAGCACTTTTTTTCTTTTCTTTTTTGCAAGATTTATCAGTATGATTTATGAAAAAGTGGCTGATATTCAGTCATAAATCATGACCGTATAAAGCCTCATGAAGCGCGTCGTGTCACAGATAAAGCTGATCATGTTAACTCTGTGGTCTTCGGAGCAAGCTGTTGGGCTTGAAGTGAGATTGTACAGTTGCACTAAAGGTGTTGGGTTTAATTTTGTGATTTATAAAAACGTCTTTTGTTATGAAACCAACCATGTCTTTCAAAGAAAGGTTTTGGGTGTTAATTTGGATGCCTTAATATTAATTTCAGAATTATGTACGCTTATGTGAAAAAATGTTTGCGGTATGGTTTCATTTTGTTTTATTTTTGTAATTGTTCGACCTAATGTCATATGTATTTTTTTCCACTGTTGCAGAGCACATGCAAATTAAAAATAAATAAATAAAAACTTGTAAAAGTAATTGACTCAATGTTGATTTGTGACTGAATCAACTAACAGATCATTTTTGGACTGTATCCTTTGATTTGTGCTATTCACAATATAACATGGCCTTGAGTGCATTATATAGCAACTAAAAATGAATAAAAGGCCCCTTTATTTAATGGGTTATAGTTCACCCAAAACATTTTATTCTGTCATTATGCACCATGTTGTTCCAAACCGTAAGACTTTCATTAACCTTCAGAACACAAATGAACATCTTTTTGATGAAATCTGAGAGATTTCTGTCCCTCCATTGACAGCTATGCAACTGACACTTTAAAAAGTTCATAAAGAGATTGTAAAACTAATCCATATAAATTGAGTGGTTTAGTCCAGATTTTCTGAAGAGACACAATCACTTTATATGATGAATAGATTGAATTAACACTTTTATTCACTTATAAACATTGATCAGCGAACATGAACAAAATGAATGTGTGTTCCATTAATTATTGCTCTTTGCATCACCAAACAGTGCAAACGACATTGCTTATCTACAGATATATGAGCCAAAGAGCATAATGCTTTCTGATTTGAGAGAAACCACAGCTTAGGAGTGACACACACCATGTTGAAAAGACCTCTCAAATGTATTTAGCCATATTCAATTATTCAGGTTTCTATTTTAAAAAAAAAGTGTTTTACAGTCTTATGTGAATGTACACACTTCACATAAGCACACTTTATTTCTTAACTTTCGATTTGCACCAAATTACTGAATTGCACCTTCAGGATCAAGAATTTTGTTATATTCAATTATTTTGAGTGGCTTTGCATAGTTTCTGAAGATATAGTCCATGTATTTGTAGCATCCCTTCTTTGGTAATTGTAGTGTAGTGTTTCTTCGAATGGACCAGTGTTTCAGATTGAAGTAGCTTGGAAAAGTCAGGATGAAGATATGAGTATAGCGGAGACATTTTTAATTGAATGACAATGATTTCACTCAATTAGTTTTTAATGCATTAGCAAAGGTATCTGAAATGTACATCTAACTCCTAGAATAACTGAATAATAACCCAATGAATTAGAATTTGTATTCAATAAAAATGTTATAAAAATAAACCGCTATCTACAATGACGCCAACTCCAACATCCTGATGGTGAGTTTTAAATGGGAAGGAATCATTCTCACTTTCTTTCAGAATTTTTGTTGTTGTTTAATTTTCAGAATTATACATTTCCTAATTTATATTTTTATATACTGGTTTAGCTCTTTGTCCAGTTAATTAAAGCGATTTTAGAAGTGAATCATACAAAAGTCTTTTACTTTCAGCCTGTGTTTGCTTGTTTTTCAGATCAGTCACATCTTCATTCTAACTAACACAGAGAACTCCTTTGTGTGTTTTAGGGTGAGTCAGGGTGATGTAATTCGACATATCAGTGAATAAGTAAAAGTGTATCGGAAAAGAGTAGGTTCGGGGGTTAAAGGTCAAGCTTTCAACTCTCCTTCACCTCTTGATATGAGGATTTGGGTCCTGTGTGTGGAATGTCAGCCTAAAGTGAGACACTCTTGAGTTTTTTTCTTTTTCTTTTGCTGTACCCACATTGTTTTACTTTCTCATGAGCTGTCTTTCCATATTGAAAGGGCGTTATCTCAGGCTGTTTTCAGAAAAGGAGCATGCAATGTGCTGTGTACGCAGTGTGGAAAATAAACTCATTTGAGTAATCTCAGTGAAAACACATGACACAATCTGGGTAATTACTATGAAATCTTTAGGTTGTTAGCCATATATGGTCCAGGGTGGCACTTGTCCACCCAACCAAAGCTGATTCATTCTAGTGAATCGCTAGAACAAAATGGTCTTAAACTGTCTTGTTTCTCTCATCGGAAAGTTCGAATTGTTCTAGTAAATGGTTTCATCCTAAACTGCTCTCTCTCTCTCATGTTGTGTTGGAAGGTCTGATTCATTCAAGCGAACTGAAGCGGTGAATTGGTTTGTTCAGATGTCTCTTTTAAAATAACAGATTCCAAAAAGATTGTTCTGTTTTGTTATTTATATATAGTATGTCTTTCAAGTTTGATGTTGTCACCCTAATTGTGATTTATTAATTCATTTAAAAACTTTGATATAATTATAAATATCATTGGATAGAGGTCCACCCTATTCCACAAAGATCCACCCACGTCTGGCCTCACAAATGGTTCATATTAGTTTACAGTTCATTTCAAAATAAAACCAGCTTTTTGAGTCATTTCACAGCAAATATATAAATATTGAGATATACAATGATTTATTAGCCTTAGTGAGAGGTTAAAATTACAAGGTAATAGAAAATTGTATAAAAACGTACTTGGTTATTAACGTAACCTCGGTTCTCTCTAGAAGAGGGAACGAGTGCTGCGTAATATCTTACGCTAAGGGAAAACCTCTTTTCCACGAGATATTGAAGCCAAAAATTATCCTTAATTTTGAATTAATGTAAAACGCGTTGCGGCAGCATGCAGACATAGGCAAGGTGGCTCGCGTCCCTATTGGCTGTCCTGCGGCAACTGCAGCAGCCTATCGAGAGAGGCCCTTTGGTGACGGTCCAATGGGGGCGCTTCGTGCCCACTGCGTCACCTTCCCGCCAAAGCGGGCGTGGCCTAGCCCTATAAATATAGCTCGATGGGCTGATATAACTGGTTTTTCATCGCCGAAGCGAACCAGAGCGTGTTGCAGGCACGGCAAGATACGCAGTACTCGTTCCCTATTCTAGAGAGAACCGAGGTTACATTAGTAACCGAGTACGTTCTCTTACGAGAGGTTCTCTCGTACTGCGTAATATCTTACGCTAGGGGAACACAATGTAAAACGCTGTGCGTGCTGGAATCCAACACCAAAGTCCCAAGGGCAGGTGCCCGGGGCTCATATAGTGCACAATCACCCTGGACTCACAGAGAGTCTAAAAAGAGAGGCTAGCAGCGTCATTCCCAATAAGTTAGCATCCCAAAGGAGCTAATCACTGTCACAGTGTTTCACACAGTCAGGGTGAAACCTTTCGGCCTGAACTGTGTAACAGTATGGGTCTTTCTTTTGCCCATGGGGAAATTTTATCGGTCAGCGAGCGGTGCTCAAGCGATTGTAGTATCCTCTGTGCTTGATTGGTAACCTCTGTCTTTCGCACCGTCCACCACGGAGAATGCTGCAGAGACGGAGGAACGCACTCAGGCTGAGAAGGGGGCGTTCCAGGACTTGTTCGTGAAGCTCAGGAAGAAAGGGCGCGGGTCTGGAAGGCGGTGGGGCGCGGTCCCTTTGAAGGAAGCACCCATCCAGTCGGTTGTGCGCAGGCTGCGAATAGGACAGCCAATAGGGACGCGAGCCGCCTTGCCTATGTCTGAATGCTGCCGCAACGCGTTTTACATTAATTCAAAATTAAGGATAATTTTTGGTTTCAATATCTCACGGAAAAGAGGTTTTCCCCTAGCGTAAGATAATACGCAGTACGAGAGAACCTCTCGTAGGAGAACTAAAAACATGATAGGCTACCATGATATATATATATATATATATATTGCAGTTCATATTACACTTTACAATAAGGTTTCATTTGTTAGTTAACTAAATCAGTTAACATGAACTAATAATGAAGAATACTTCTGCAATATTTATTAATATTATATTAATTTCAACTACTAATAGTCCAAAAGTTTAATTTGCTAAAGGACTGTGAACTAAAATGAACCAACTATGAACAATTATATTTTACTCACCTTTACAAAGATTAATAAATGTTTTAAATAAAATATATATACTCATTGTTAGTTCATGTTAGAGCGAATGCATTAACAAATAATATCTTATTGTAAAGTTTTACCGAATCGCACATTATCTCGTGCATTGTCTTTATTTTATTTTAGTATATTATTATTATTATTGTTGGAAAGGCTATAGCCATTCATTTTACCTGCATCGAAATAGAGCAACTATTGCTGGTATTGTGTAATGTTATTGACTTGGAACCCTGTGTATTTGTTCATTATGTTTCAAATGTATTAGCGTTTGAGTGACAAGACTCATAGTTTACATAGTGTCTGACTGTCAGCTGGTTTTATTCTACGTCTGCAAGTCAAACCTATAAACAGAGTCTCTTCAAACTCAGTGCCAGACATAAGCCTTTTCACTAGCAAGTGCAGATATAATGGTTTATTTGAAGAGCATACAGTGAACTGCTGTTTGGATGGATGTATTTTTGCTCTGTTTAACATTCACATAGAAACATTATCTGGTGACCACATTGGTTTTATAAAAACACATTTCAATTTACAATTAAGGTTACACTTTATTTTAAGTTGTCCTTGTTACAGTGTAACTATACAATTAAGTACTGAGTAACAACATGTACTTACTATATAATTCGGTTTAGGGTGAATTGAATGTAATTATGCATAATTTACTGTTATTACTACAGTAAGTTCATGCAACATAAAATGACAATAAACCAATGTGTTAGAGGAAAATAAAATAAGAGGTAAGTCAAATAAGGAAAGTTAAGTGCAACTTCGTGATAATGAACTGCTGAACTTGCATGATTCTACACTAACTTATAAAAAAGATAATTCATTGGACATGAATTGATTTATTTGTAGATAATGGGATGTATATAATGCGAGAAGAAATAGAATGCCACATGTGTCATTTAGTATCAACCCTGTAGTTATTTAGCACATGTGTTGAGGAACATAAAGTTTTATGAGGCCCCAGAAGTCTCTTTTTTGGATGACCCCTAGAGGAGGTGCCACTGCGGACAAAACCGTTTAAAAGCTCAGTGGAGAACTTACGTGTCTTCTGTCTATGAGCTGTTCCCTGTATGCTTTGGGTTAGGTTTTCTGTCTCTTTCTGTTTTCCTTGTTTTTTTCCACCTGTAGATATATCCACAATGTTGAAATGGACACTTCTAAGGATGATGTTATTGCTCTGGATGACAAAAGTAACACTTCAGGGTGGCACAGGTAAGGATGCTTAGGAGAAAACAATGCTCATAAGTACTTAAAATCTGTGTGGATTTGATTGTTGTTTTGCTTTGAGTGTCTGTTACAGAATTACAGGAGTTTTTCCCTAAAGTTATTGAGGAACAAATAAGGTTTCTGGCCTTATGTTCTTGGTGTAGAACTAATTAGTAAAGACTTCTGAAAATAAGTTCCCATTTGTCCAGAAATGACCAGAGAAAGGCATTTCACATTGAATGTTGTAGCTCAAGGCATGTACGGACACAATATGGATGGATGATTTGTGATGGTAGCAGTAATAAAAAAATAAAAAAAAATTTTTTTTTTTTTTTTTTTTGGATTGCCATTTTGTATGTGCTGGTGGTAACCAGCATCATAAACGGTTACAGTGTTACTCAAGCATTTCATAAAGATTTGTAGAAGTGAAAAGTCTTTACGAGCGTGTCACACTTACAAAAAAAAGGACAAAAAAGCAGCTGTGGTTGCCTGAACTTTACTGTAAAAAAAGGGTTTGATCGATAACAACGATCCTTATGTTGTTTAAATTTGGTTAAGAAATTCATAAGCGTTAATAATTCAGTATAATAACCTGCAACATATCATTAGTCTGTGTGTGGCTACCTGGTTGATCCTGCTTTATATGATTGTCTCAATGGCTATTTTGCAATCGAATATTCTGTTAATAATCTGATTATCCGTTCTGGCTGAACAGCCACCATAAACACCTCAATCGCTCTGTCAATAACTTTCATCAATATTTTTTTTTCCAATTTCAGATTTTGAAAAGTGGCGTAGATCTCAAAAAATCCATATCAGATTCAAAAGTAGCCATGGTGGAACTTTTCACACTTGTAATTTTGAAGCGGGTTTAGCACTGCTTTTTACAGTTATAAAAGGGATAGTTTACCCAAGAAGGAAAATTCTGTCATTTACTCACCCTCAAGTTGTTCCAAACCTGTATGAATTTCTTTTTTCTGCTGAATAAAAAAAAAAGATATTTAGCAGAATATGGGTAAACTAAACAGTTGAAGGGCCCCATTGACATCCATAGTATTATTTTTCCCCCATAAGGAAGTCAATGGGGTCCATCAACTTTGATTACCAGCATTCTTTAAAATATCTTTGTTTGTGTTCAGCAGAAGAAAGAAACTCGTACAAGTTTGGAACAACTTGAGGGTGAGTAAATGACAGAATTTCCATTTTTGGTTAAACTATCCCTTTAAACCAACCACAGCTTTTGAGGTGTTAATCCCACATTGCGGTGCAAAACTTGTACAGCGTGAAACAATGCTAGATGCTTAGGAACAAACACCCAACCATGTGTCTCATACTCATGTGCTTTGGACAGTAACAGAAACACTGTGTGTTGTATAAAAAGTAATTTCAGCAGTTGAGGGGAAAAATGTCAAATTGGAGGGGAACCATCAATTGGAGTGAAGATTTTACTTTATTTATAGTAATGTATAAATATTTAATATGAGGATTACTTACAGAATGCTATAAATTCATACATAACTTTTGATTCTCAGCCCTTTAAGAAACACATGGTTAAATGAACTTTTGGTGATTAAAAAAAATACAAATCATTTTTTTATGTACTTGTCTTATCATACAAGATTTTTCATTAAACTCTTTTTATTTTCATTAAACCTTTTCTTTTAATAATCATAATTTGCCCGTAGAATTAAACATCCACGATATGTTGTGCATTTCAATTCCTGAAACAACTTAGTATTTTGTGAAACATAACAATGGCTTCTTAACATCAAAGCAAAGTGAGTGAGTTTCCCCTGCAATGCCTGAATCTAACATCTCCCTGTGAGAATTTAATTGTATTACTTGAACCGAATTGCTCAACTTATTCTCTTGCCCCTGCTGTCTCCAGGAACTGCTTGTTCCCCCATGCGTCCGAGATATTTAGACAACAGTACTGTAAGATTCAGCAGTTATAGTTCACGTTACCTGTGAAAATAGTTCATGGAAACAGTTTCATAATAGATCCATCATTAACTTCAACTGACAAAAGTAGTATAAGGCAATTTATCGATATACTATAGTTTTATATAGCAATGCTGTATTGAACAGAATATGTGACATGTCTGTATACATTCTAAACCAACAATAGAGCTTCCATAAATTTCAGCTATATTGTTTGTTGATATTCATTTTTTGTTTTTTGTTTTTAATTGATTTTTGTGATTCTTTAAGTTCAATTAAATATTGTACAGTACATTGTCATGTCAGAGGATAACCTCCTGTACATTTCTTTTTTTATTATTATTTAAGGGTACCAACCTCAAAATCCAAATGGCGGTGCAATACAAATGTCACCAGGAGGTAATATCAATCTTTCTATGTTGATGTACATGTAAACAACAGTTTCAGTGCATGGCTATTTACGTTAGTCATTCTACTAATCCAAGTCTGTGAAATTATCATGGAATTTTTAACATGATTTTCTGGTATTGCAAATATTCAGCTTAGAAAACTGCGATAACCCAATAAATCTGTATTTTCAGGTTATGGTGTGGGTCCAAATAGCAACTCCGCAAATATGAAAGGAAATGGTAAGCAAGAACAGAATTTATACTAATATACTTGGTTTTTTATCTTTTGTGAGTAAATATACCATAACATGTAAAATGTGATGCGATAAATCAGTTAAGGTTTTATTTTATTTAGCTTTCTGAAATATTTTATATTTAGCATATCTATTTGTGTGCATGTACAGAAGTTTTGTTTACTGTTTTATAAAATGAAGTATATTTAGGACATTTTATTTCGTTGATTATTTTGGATTCTGTGATTGATGGATGGATGGATTTTTGTTTAAATGTTATCTTTTTATTATCAGGTTATCCTGTAAACAAAGGTACAGGTAAGCCCAAACCATGAAATGCTATGTAATATATAATATAATGAAGTAAATCAATTCAGAAATTTGAATAAATCATCATACACCTCCTGTCTGTTGTCTTTCAGGTGCTTATGGAAGTGCACAACAAAAGCCTGGATATGGAGGTCATCCCCAATATGGTATGAACTTTTTTGTTGCTTGTACTGTAGCATAAGTACATTATCAGGTTTTCCTTTTTTTAACATATATTTTTCGATTGGTATAAGTTGGAACAGGCATGGGAATGGTGTGTGCGTGCATGTGTGTGTTACTACAAAATACAAAATACAAAAATACTAACTATTTTTGTGAGGACCTGTTAAAAATCAGAGGAACTATTTTGCAGGTTTGAGTTTTAAACCGTGTGTGTGTGTGTGTGTGTACAACTATTTTGTGAGTTTGAGTTTTAAACCACCGTAGTGAGGACAAAGACAGTAAAGTAAGGACATTTTGGCCGGTCTTCACTTTCTGAGACCCCTTTAAAGACAGTGTTAGGGGGTAACGAATTACAATTAAAGTGAGTTATGTAATCAGATTACGCATTACTTTTACATTTACAAAACAAAATCCGTGACTTTTTCAAATAAGTAATGTAAGTGCACTTTGTTTTTCCCATGTATTGACTTACACCTGTCCTATGCCCATGTTGAGAGCAATCTAGAAAGGTTTGTTTGAGCTGCGTCCTTGTACAGGCAAGAATTTGGTGTGAAAGAGCTTTTGTGAACTTTTTTTAATGTTATTAAAAAAACAAACAAGCAAGCCCAGCCCAGGGGACAAAATGCAATGCAAAAGTAACGTAACTCAAGCTACTTTTTTTTTTTTTACAGAGTAATGCAATATTGTAACACATTACTTTTAAAAGTAACTTTCCCCAACGCTGTTTAAAGGCCTGTTTGATGGTCAAGACTTGGTTTTAGGGATAAGGTCATACTTATGTTAAGGGTAAATTTAGAGTAAGGGTTCGTGTTAGGTGCTTCGTTGTTATTTGTAGGGTTAGGAGCTAGAGATTGCATTGTGTTAACGAGTGTGTGTGTGTGTAAGAGAGAGAGAAACTATCTAATTGCACTACATTCCTGTCATTTATTGTTACAGGTAAAAAGAATGGCTACCGAGCACCGTCTTATGGGGGTGAGTTTAATCTCAAGAGTCAATATGTTAGTTTGTGCATACAGATTGTGCAAATGTAACCATTAAGAATGTGTACAAACACCATTGTGTTTTGTTTCAGCATTTAAAACTGTTATCATTGTGCGTTTACTTTCATTAAAAAGTCTGTTTAATATTGTCTGAAGGCTACAGCAATTTAATGGGCACTCATCCCCAAAAAGGAGCTGGTCTAGGTAAGTCTTATCTTAATATTCTCTTAAAGATTAGGTCACCCTGCAAGGTTTTATGTTTTACTTGCTTTCTTCTGTGGAACACAAATGGTATATTTCTGAAGAATTTATGAGACTGTGGTCAGTTTTGGAGATGGTCCTCACTGCAGAACATGAATCCCACCTTACATATATCTAAACCTACCCATCTCCACCCCCTGATCCCTAACCCCACCCCTAATCCTACCCATCTCCACCCCCTGATCCCTAACCCCACCCCTAATCCTACCCATCTCCACCCCCTGATCCCTAACCCCACCCCTAATCCTACCCATCTCCACCCCCTGATCCCTAACCCCACCCCTAATCCTACCCATCTCCACCCCCTGATCCCTAACCCCACCCCTAATCCTACCCATCTCCGCCCCCTGATCCCTAACCCCACCCCTAATCCTACCCATCTCCGCCCCCTGATCCCTAACCCCACCCCTAAACCTACCCATCTCCACCCCCTGATCCCTAACCCCACCCCTAATCCTACCCATCTCCGCCCCCTAATCTCTAACCCCACCCCTAATCCTACCCATCTCCACCCCCTGATCCCTAACCCCACCCCTAATCCTACCCATCTCCGCCCCCTAATCTCTAACCCCACCCCTAATCCTACTCATCTCCACCCCCTGATCCCTAACCCCACCCCTAATCCTACCCATCTCCACCCCTTAAATCTGGATCCAACTCCGCCCCCTGGATCTTGTGTACTGCAATGAGGTGCTACTGGAGTTTTGGGGTAAATATCAAGAACCAAATAAGCTACACCACCAATATTGTGTCAAATGAAGTACATTTGTACATACCAACCAAATAGTTCTACCATGTTAATATGTTAAAATGTTGTTGTTTTTTCATTAGTGGAAGTAAAATGTATTGATCACAGTGATGGTTGTAAGATAGTATGGGGTGCTGGGGTGCATGTGTGAGAATAGCATATTATTTTTACATTACCTTTATTAGTCAGTATCAGAAGAACCATTTTTCTCTTTCAAACACCATCAGTCAGTTTGAAATGAAATCTAAAGATTTAGCACTGCTTATTTTCAATTCAAAATCTGACAAATTGGCAGTAAACTATCATTTGATATTTCTAAAGAAATGTAGAAATGTAAAACAGTCTGGTAACACTTTAGCAACAATCATTTTACCACATTAGTATTTACTTGCATTAGGTTATGGCACTGGATCTGCTGCTATTAAGGGACAAAACTCAAATCCTGGAGGTAAATTATTTTTGTATGTAGTATTTTTTTTTAAAGAAATCTTGTCATTTTAAATTAATTTTATATTATACTATTGCCAGGGTTGAAATTAAAATGTCATCGAAGTCAGTAAAGAAAACCACTGTGGTGTAATCCAGATTTGAGTTTTTTTATGCAGTCGATAGTGGAACTCTGTCCTAGCCTCTTGCTCCTTTCTTACAAGAGACATAACATTTTTAAAAATCATTCAAAACTATATTATTCATAAATAATAGTGATGATAATAATGCATTGAGATGATTATCATGATTAGAGATATGGTATATTAAGGTCTGGCTTATGAAATATAATCTCTGATAAATCAAGTGAGGTATGAAGAACAGAGCCCTGGTTTGAGTGTATAATTAATTTTCACCTCACTTTCTGCAGGATACACCAATGGTGGGGCGACCAAGACACAAAGAAAACAAGGTACATAGAATTGTATTTAGTCAACTTCCTTTTCTGTAATCAACTATATAATGTGTCTGTAACTGAGCTAACCGTAGAACCTCTAAACTGATTTGGGATTGGTTTTGTTCAGGATATGGAGGATATCCTAATGGGGGTGCAGCTAACCAACCTAATACAGGTGATTATATTGGATGCTTAAATAAATTTTATTCTACAGTGTTGTTATTATTACAGTGTGGAAAGTACTAAATTCTGATAAGAACTCAGGATATTAAACAAGTCTAAAAGTATGTTTCACTAATTAGGCTCTTCTCTTCAATGTACAGGGTATCCCAATGGTGGAACCAAGGGTCCTAAACCAGGTAATCTTTGTGCATGTTTAGATTAAGGTACCGGTAACACTTTACAATAAGGTTTCACATTAGTTAACATGAACAAACTATAAACAATACTTAGTTAATTTCAGCATTCACTAATACAATTGTGAGATCAAAAGTTGAATCTGTTAACATTAGTTAATGCACTGTGAAACAACATGAACATTTTTAATAACTAACATTTAACAAAGGTTAATAAATGCTGTAAAAATCTATTGCTCTATTTTAGTTAATGTTTGTTAATTTATTTACTAATGTTAACAAACAAGATATATTGTAAAGTGTTACTAATTCTCTATATTACCGGTGGAGGATTGGTTAATTGGGGGGTAAAGCACTAAAGGTCTGTATTGTAAACTGAGGTAACTGGAGAACCTCTAAACTGATTTAGGATTGGTTTTCTTCAGGATATGGAGGATATCCTAATGGAGGTGCAGCTAACCAACCTAATACAGGTAATACACTGGATATCACCAGCTCTACAGCAATTATTACAGTGGAACATACTGAAATCTTGAAAAGAACTGAGGATAATACACTGGTTTAAAGTACTTTCCTTTAATTAGGCTCTTCTCTTCAAAATATGGGGTATCCCAATGGTGGAACCAAGGGACCTAAACCAGGTAAACTATTTGTGTGTGTATAATGTGTATTTTGTGTTTTTTCCCCTTTGTCTGATTTTTCCATATCATTTGAATCTTATGTGTGTTGCGTTTGCTTCAAAGGATATGGTGCGATAGCTGGACCCTCAAATGGACAAGGATCCAAGCCTAATGGTAAATGGCATGCCAATATTACTATTATAAAACAGTTTTTGTCTCTAAATTCCAGTTCTATAAGCCGTCTTCAAAGCCTCTGTAAAATATATTATATCTGCACACTATTAGTTTGACTGCACATAAATTGAATTTCTTTATAATACTAACTGTAGTTTAGAACCAAATCGATATTGTTGGTAGAGAAGTTGTTTATTAGGGAATAAAGCATTAAATGTCTAAATTGTAAACTGAGATAACTGGAGAACCTCCAAACTGATTTGGGATTGTTTTTTTTTTCAGGATATGGAGGATATCCTAATGGAGGTGCAGCTAACCAACCTAATACAGGTAATACACTGGATATCACCAGCTCTACAGCAATTATTACAGTGGAACATACTGAAATCTTGAAAAGAACTGAGGATAATACACTGGTTTAAAGTACTTTCCTTTAATTAGGCTCTTCTCTTCAAAATATGGGGTATCCCAATGGTGGAACCAAGGGACCTAAACCAGGTAAACTATTTTTGTGTATGTGTAATGCGTATTTTTTTTTTTTTTTGTCTGATTTTTCCATATCATTTGAATCTTATGTGTGTTGGGTCTGCTTCAAAGGATATGGTGCTAAAGCTGGATCCTCAAATGGACAAGGAGCCAAGCCTAATGGTAAATAACGTGTGATTAATATTACTATTAAAAACATAGTTTTTAGCTCTAAATTCCAGCTGGATAAGTCACATTCAAAGCCACTGTAAAATATGTTATACAAACACCTTTGATTGCATGACATTATTACTATTACAGTGTTTGGCTCTAAATTCCAGTTGGAGACGCTGCGTTCAAAGCCACTGTAATATATGATATCCGCACACATTTAGTTTGACTGCACATCAGTTGAATTTCTTTATAATACACCAACTGTAGTTTTGCCACATTTACATTAATAATATGTATTATTGGTGAAGAATTTGTTTATTAGGGGTAAAGCACTAATGTTCTGTATTGTAAACTGAGGTAACTGGAGAATCTCTAAACTAATTTGAGATTGTTTTTCTTCAGGATATGGAGGATATCCTAATGGAGGTGCAGCTAACCAACCTAATACAGGTAATGCACAGTAATAATTACACTAGAGCTGGTGACATCCAGTGTGGAAAATACTGAATTCTGAGAAAAACTGAGGATCTTACACTGGTTTAAAGTATTATTTTTTTCTTCTAATTAGGCTCTTTCCTTCAAAATATGGGGTATCCTAATGGTGGAACCAAGGGACCTAAACCAGGTAAACTAAGTTTATGTGTAATGCATATATTGTGTATTTGTCTCATTTGTCTGATTTTTCCATATCATTTGAATCTTATGTGTGTTGGGTCTGCTTCAAAGGATATGGTGCTAAAGCTGGACCCTCAAATGGAACAGGAGCCAAGCCTAATGGTAAATAACGTGTGATTAATATTACTATTATAAAACATAGTTTTTAGCTCTAAATTCCAGCTGGATAAGTCACATTCAAAGCCACTATATGTTATACAAACACCTTTGATTGCACATTAATTTAATTCTTTATTAATAAACCAACTGTAGTGTAGCCCCATTTACATTAATAATGTATATTATTAGTGGAGGAATTGTTTATTAGGGGATAAAGCACTAAAGGTCTGTATTGTAAACTTGAGGTAACTGGAGAACTCCTAAACTGATTTAGGATTGGTTTTGTTCAGGAAATGGAGGATATCTTAATGGAGGTGCAGCTAACCAACCTAATACAGGTAATACACTGGATATCACCAGCTGTTACAATCTGTTCTGACACACACAGGTTGAAGATCCAAACGCAGCCTTTATTTAGGGTAATCCACAGTCATAATTCATAAACAGGCACAGGGTCTAAAACGTACTCGGTTACTAACGTAACCTCGTGCTCTCTAGAAGAGGTTCTCTCGTACTGCGTAATATCTTACGCTAGGGGAAAACTCTATTCCACGAGATATTGAAGCCAAAAATTATCCTTAATTTTGAATTAATGTAAAACACGTTGCGGCAGCATGCAGACATAGGCAAGGCGGCTCGCGTGCTGTTGGCTGTCCTGCGGCAACTGCAGCAGCCTATCGAGAGAGGCCCTTGGTGATGTCAGATCCAATGGGGGCGCTTTGCGCCCACTACGTCACCTCCCGCCAAAGCGGACGTGCCTGAGCCTATAAATAGAGCTCGATGGGCTGATATAATCTGGTTTTTCATCGCTGAAGCGAACCAGAGCGTGTTGCAGGCACGGCAAAGATACGCAGTACTCGTTCCCTCTTCTAGAGAGAACCGAGGTTACGTTAGTAACCGAGTACGTTCTCTTAAGAGAGGTTTTCTCGTACTGCGTAATATCTTACGCTAGGGAAACACAGTGTAAAACGCTGTGCATGCCGGGATCCAACACCAAACTCCCAAGGGCAGGTGCCCGGGGCTCATATAGTGCATAATCACCAGGGACTCACAAAGAGTCTGAGAAGAGAGGCTAGAAGCGTCATTCCCAATAAGTTAGTGTCCTAAGGGAGCTAATCTCATTAATAGTGTTCCACACAGTCAGGGTGAAAATGTTCGGCCTGAACTATGTAACAGTATGGGTCTTACTTTTGCTTATGGAGTAATTTTATCGATCAGCGAGCGGTGCTCAAGCGGTTGTAGTATTCTGAGCCGAAGCAACGGGGCAGAAAATACTGATTTTAGACCGAAAGTAGTTTAGCCTGTAAGGCGGGAACCTCTAGGTTATAAAACCTTATAAATGTAGACGGGGAGGCCCAGCCTGCCGCCATACAGATATCCTGCAAGTTAATCCCGCTAGACCAAGCCCACGACGAGGCCATGCCTCTTGTGGAGTGTGCTCTAACACCTAAAGGACACTTCCAGCATTAGACGTGTATGCCAGCGCTATGGCATCAACTATCCATCTGGATAGGCTCTGTTTCGATGCGGGTAGTCCCTTAGCACGTCCGCTGAACGAAACGAAGAGCTGCTCAGTCTGTCTGAAAACAGACGAGCGAGACACATAAGCTCTTAATGCCCTGACTGGGCAAAGGAAGCTCGCGTCCTTTTCCTCGTTTTAAACCGGCAGAGCAGACAGGGAAATAACCTGAGCCCTGAACGGTGTGTTGAGGGATTTAGGCACGTATCCGTGTCTTGGTTTGAGTATGACTTTCGAGTCATCTGGCCCAAATTCCATACACGTCGCGCTTAATGAGAGCGCTTGCAAATCCCCTATGCGCTTTACTGAAGCAAGAGTCATAAGAAACACTGTCTTAAATGACAGATGTTTCATGTCCGACAAGTGGAAGGGAAGGTCCCACATGGGGATTGAGGGGGGTCTGGGAGGATGCAGCCTCTTAGCTCCTTTAAGGAAGCGGATGACCAGATCGTTCTTCCCCAATGACTGGCCAGTCGCGGGTTTTGTAAATGCTGCTATGGCCGCCACAAAAACTTTGAGCGTGGATGGGGTTCTGCCCTTATCCAGTAGCTCTTGAAGGAAGTAGAGAACTTCCGTAACCCCGCAGTCTAAGGGTGAAAATCCTCGGGCTTTGCACCAGCAAGAAAACACAGACCGTTTTGAGGAATAGAGTCGTCTAGTAGATGGCGCTCTAGCCTAGCAAGCTAGCCTCTAAATCGTGTTTAACACTGCCTCCGGGAGGTTTGCGGGTACCCGTTGATGGCCCATGCGTGCAGGGACCACAGGTCCGGGCGAGGATGCCAAATCGAGCCCTTGGCCTGAGAGAGGAGGTCTTTCCTCGTCGGTATTTTCCATGGGACAGTTCTTGTCACCTGCATCAGAACTGGGAACCAAGCCTGGTTTTTCCAGAGCGGAGCCACAAGTAGCACTGAGCATCCGTTTTCCCTGATTCGTTCCAATACCTGAGGCAGGAGCGAGACGGGGGAAAGGCGTAGAGCGGGCAGCGGGGCCAGACTTGGGCCAGCGCATCCCTGCTCTTGGAGAAAAACTTCAGACAGTGAGTGTTTCCTTGGGACACAAACAGGTCTACCTGCGCTCTGCCGAATGTCTCCCACAGCAGTAGGACCGTCTGCGGGTGCAGAGACCATTCTCCTGCTGGAACATTGTTTCTGGACTGTCTGTCTGGTCCCAAATTCAGGTGACCAGGCACATGACCAGGCACAAGGTTTCGGGACCTGTCGCCACCCTGGCGATTTATGTAGGCCACCACTGACATGTCGTCCGAGCGGACCAAGACCTGGTGACCTTTTATTCGGGGACAAAAGCGCCTCAGCGCGTTGTCGACTGCCATCATTTCTAGACAGTTTATGTGTAGGAGCTTCTCCCGTTCTGAACACTGGCCAAAGAACGGTCTCCCATCCCGAGGTGGAGGCATCCGTGGACACCACTCTCACACTCGAGGAAGTCCCCAGGTTTACACCTGACTGGTACCAGTCGATTGCTCTCTAAGGTTTCAGAGCTGTGACGCATTTCTGATCGACCTTGAGGCGAAACAGACCGGAGGCCCATGCCCGAGGTGGTACTTGCGCTTTTAGCCATAACTGCAGCGGGCGTATGCGAAGCAGACCCAACTGGAGTACTGATGATGCTGAGGCCATGAGACCCAGCATTTTTTAAACCTTTAGACTGGAACTATAGTGCCGCAGCGGAAGGATTTTGTGATGCGCTGAATGTTCAGTCTGCGCTCTGGCGACAGTCGCACTGTCATAGACAGCGAGTTCAGTTCTGTGCCCAGAAAAGATATTTTCTGACTGGGAGACAGCGAACTTTTCGCCCAATTGACTTTGAGACCTAGATTCTCGAGATGTTCGAGTAATATGGTCCTCTGTTCTATGAGCTCTGAGTGTGATCGAGCTAGAATCAGCCAATCGTCCAAGTAGTTCAAAACTCGCATGCCCAGAAGTTTCAGGGGTACGAGAGCCGCGTCCATGCACATTGTAAATGTACGGGGTGCTAGGGACAGGCCGAACGGTAGGACTGTGTATTGATATGCCTGGCCCTCGAAGGAATCGCCTGTGACGTGACGCTATTTGTAATTGGAAATATGCATGCTTCAGATCTATTGACATAAACCAGTCCCCTTGGCAAATCTGCGCGAGGATTTCCCTGGTTGTGAGCATTCTGAACTGGCGTTTCACAAGCACTTTGTTCAGCTGTCTTATATCTAGAATGGGTCTGAGACCCCCATCTTTTTTCGGTACCAGAAAATATCTGCAGTATAGGACCCCTTCACTCTGAGCTTGAGATAAAGGGTCTATTGCCCCTTTGCTCAATAGTTTCGCTATTTCGGCTCGAAGTAGATGGGCTACTTCGGTTTTTACCGTAGTTTCGACCCGCGCCGTGTAGCGGCGGGGACGTTGAGCGAACTGCAGCGAATAGCCTCTCTTTAGCACCCATTCTGATACCCCGGGAAGCTTTGCCCACGCATTTGCATGAATAGCTAGGGGTAGAATGAGATCTTGGCTCTGGCCGCAACATAGTGGCGACAGGAGAGCTTTGGTGTGCTGTAACGTAAACACTGTGCTTGCAGCGTTTGAGGCGGGGGGCACGACGATCGTGGCGGGCAGCCTGGCCGTGCTCGATTCCCTCATAGCAGTTTGCTGATAGAGAGCAAGCGGGGCGAGCCTCGTGGGGCTTAATGAGTGTGAGTGAATGTCTGTGAGTGAATTTGGGCGCGGGACAGCGGGCACATTTACTGCACTGAAAACACCGTCGGCCTGAGCTGACTGTATGTGTGTTGGTTTAATTTTTACAGAAATCGTGGGACATGCAGTGTGTAGTGTTTGTGGGCACTGGGTTGTGGGCACATTCACTACATTTAATGCACAATTGACATGAGTAGATTTTATTTGTGCGAGCCCTGTACTGTGGTGGGCTGGGTTTGTGTGTAGAAATGAACACTGGGCTGTGGGCATTTTTATTACAGTCATATCACCATCAGCAGTGGCCGGAATACCAGAAATTACACTGTTTATGTGATTTATCTGGGTCGCCGTGGAAACGGCATTTTTGTGCAGGCAAGCGGGCCGTGGTACCAGCTTGTTTACTGCAAAATATACTGGAACAGTCGCATTTTCTGGAACTGAACAAGCGAAAAGTTTCGGTGGAACTCTGGCCGCGGTGAGACTTGAACACCGTCGTTTTCCTATGAGGGCTAGGAAGACTTTGAGGCCTCGGGCTTTATCTCAATCTTTTGCCGGGGCCCACATGGGGGGCGGGGGTGGGGCGGCGGCCGGCAGAGCGAGAGCGAGAGCGTGGTCTCTGGTCCCGGGCTTGACGGCGCTGTGAAGCGGCGGCGGGCTGTGGCTGGGAGCTTCGAGTAGACGGCTGTTTTGGGCGATCTGCTGCGAAGCTAGAGCGCTTTGGTAAGAAGTGCTTCATATCCTGTGAAGTCTTCTGAACCTCAGTGAATCTATCCGCGAAATCTTTGACGGATGATCCAAAGAGGCCAGCTGGGGAGATGGGCGCGTCGAGGAACGCGGAGCACTCCGCGTCCGGCATCTCAGATAACGTCAGCCATAGGTGTCTCTCAGCAACGGTGAGAGAAGCCATGTTCCGCCCAATGGCCTGTGCAGCGGATTTCGCATCGCGAAGAGCCAGGTCCGTAGCGCTCCTCAAATCCGGCACGCTGATAGCTTCCTGTCCTTCCTCATCCAGTTTTCGGAGAAGGTCGGCTTGGAAGATCTGCAGTACGGCCATCGAGTGTAATGCCGATACAGCCTGCCCAGCGGCGGTATAAGCGCGGCTGTGCATAGCGGAAGTAGTGCAGCAAGCTTTACAATGTAGCGCCGTCTTTGCTCGCCGTCCAGCAGAGGGCGGGCAAAGATGGGCCGCTACAGCTTCTTCTACTGGAGGAAGAGAGTGGTATCCTCTGTCTTTAGCACCGTCCACCACGGAGAATGCTGCTGAGACAGAGGTACGCGGTCCCTTTGTAGGAAGCATTCATCCAGTCGGTTGTGCGCGGGCGTCGCCCACTCAAGGCCGAGGCTCGCCACGGCCTGTGGGGGAGACGCATCAGCTCGGATTCGATGCTGGCCCGTTTCCCTGACGACTCGCGGGCAGAGGGGGGGAGGTCCACAGAGCTCGCCCAATCCTCACTGTCCGACGCCAGGATAGAGCAGCTGGCCTTTCTCTACAGATGCAGCTATCTCGTCGTCATATCTCGTCGTAATTAATGGCGGACGGCGGCCGTTGTCCATCGGTGAGCGACTCGAGTGAAGCTGGTGAATCTCGCGGGCGAACCGGCGAGCTTTTACGGGCTGGAGAAGGCTCGGGGACCCGCTGAGTACGGCGCTTTTACGGCGCGGCACTATAGCGGGCGGAAGTGCAGACTCTGAGAAAAATGCCAGGCGAGTCCTCAGTCACCATGGCAATAGCTCGCAATGAGGGCAGCCGCCGTCAACGAGTTGCATGATCCTTACCCAGGCAGGAAACCCAGATGAAATGACGGTCCCCATCGCTGCATGCGGCTTGGCACGAACCACAGGAACGAGGCATCTTTATAAAGACGCTGCTCTTTAAGATAGAGAGAGAGTGTGTGAGTCGCAGCAGGGAACACACACATTTGGCAGAGTAAAAGGATATAAACGCCGGAAAGCGTAGCAGGTACGGCGACTGAAGGCGGCGAGATGAAGGTCAGCGTCTTCAGATGCAAGGCTCGTCCCGCAAAAAGCTTTTCTCAGACGGCGCGGCTTCTTCACTCAGGATCTAGCGATGCGTGAGCTTCGCTGAAGAGATGAAAAATCAGATTATATATGAGCCATCGAGCTCTATTTATAGGCCCAGGCATGCCCGCTTTGGCGGGAGGTGACGTAGTGGGCACGAAGCGCCCCCATTGGATCTGACGTCACCAAGGGCCTCTCTCGATAGGCTGCTGCAGTTGCCGCAGGACAGCCAATAGGCTCACAAGCCGCCTTGGCTATGTCTGCATGCTGCCGCAACGCGTTTTACATTAATTCAAAATTAAGGATAATTTTTGGCTTCAATATCTCGTGGAAAAGAGGTTTTCCCCTAGCGTAAGATATTACGCAGTACGAGAGAACCTCTCGTAAGAGAACAAGGTCCAAGAAACACGAGCAAACAAGGTAATCCAAAGAACAGGCAAAATATCAACACCATGAAACCAAGAACCAGGAAAGAATGCACAGAATTGCAGTTGTAACCCAAACAAGACTTTGCAACGAATGAGTGGAAACACAGGTCTTATAAAGGCAGAGCTAAACAAGGTAATCACACACAGCTGAACAGAATCACACATAATGAGCCAGGTAATGAGTACTGGGAAATGGAGTTCATGATGTGGTTGCAAAGGAGATAGAAGATGACACCAGCTCTAGTACAATTGTTCCAGTGGAAAATGCTGAATTCTAAAAAATCAACTGAGGCTATTACAATGGGTTAAAGTACTTTTCTCTAATTAGGCTCTTCTTTTCAAAATATGGGATATCCCAATGGTGTAACCAAGGGACCTAAACCAGGTAAACTATTTTTTTTGTGTGTGTGTAATGCATATGTTGTGGGTTTTTTTTTTTTTTTTTTGTCAGATTTTTCCGTATAATTTGAATCTTATGTGTTTGGGTCTGCTTCAAAGGATATGGTGCTATAGCTGGACCCTCAAATGGACAAGGAGCCCAGCCTAATGGTAAATAGCATGTGATTATTACTATTATAAAACAGTTTTTGGCTCTAAATTCCAGTTGGACAAGCCACATAAAAAGCCACTGTAAAATACAAACACTTTTGATTGCACATTAATTGAATTCTTTATCAATAAACCAACTAGTCCCATTTACATTAATAATGTATATTATTGGTGGATGAATTGTTTAGGGGACAAAGCACTAAAGGCCTGTATTGTAAACTGAGGTAACTGGAGAACCTCTAAACTGATTTGGGATTGGTTTTCTTCAGGATATGGAGGATATCCTAATGGAGGTGCAGCTAGCCAACCTAATACAGGTAATACACTGAATGTCACCAGCTCTAGTGCAATTAACAGTGTGGAAAATACTGAATTCTGAAAAGAACTGAGGATAATACACTGGTTTAAAGTACTTTTCTCTAATTAGGCTCTTTTCTTCAAAATACTGGGTATCCCAATGGTGGAACCAAGGGTCCTAAACCAGGTAAACTATTTTTGTGTATGTGTAATGCGTATTGTGTTTATTTTCATTTCTTTTGTCTGATTTTTCCGTATCATTTGAATCTTATGTGTGTGGTTTGCTTCAAAGGACATGGTGCGATAGCTGGACCCTCAAATGGACAAGGAGCCAAGCCTAATGGTAAATAGCATAACATTATTACTATTAAAAAACAGTTTTGGCTCTAAATTCCAGTTGGATACGCTGCATTCAAAGCCACTGTATAATATGATATCCGCACACATTTAGTATGACTGCACATTAGTTAAATTTATTTATAATACTGTACACCAACTCTAGTATAGCCGCATTTAAATTAATAATCTGCATTATTGGTGGAGAAGTTGTATATTAGGGGGTAAAGCACTAAAGGTCTGTATTGTAAACTGAGGTAACTGGAGAACCTCTAAACTAATTTGAGATTGTTGTTTTTTTCAGGATATGGAGGATATCCTAATGGAGGTGCAGCTAACCAACCTAATACAGGTAATACACTGGACGTCACCAGCTCTAGAGCAATTATTACACTGGAACATACTGAATTCTGAAAAGTACTGAGGATATTACATTGGTTTAAAGTACTTTTTTCTCTAATTAGGCTCTTCTCTTCAAAATATGGGATATCCCAATGGTGGAACCAAGAGACCTAAACCAGGTAAATTATTTGTGTGTGTGTAATGCATACGTTGTGTTTTTATTCTTTTGTCTGATTTTTCCATATCATTTGAATCTTTTGTGTGTGGTTTGCTTCAAAGGATATGGTGCTAAAGCTGAACCCTCAAATGGACAAGGAGCCAAGCCTAATGGTAAATAGCATAACATTATTACTATTAAAAAACAGTTTTGGCTCTAAATTCCAGTTGGATACGCTGCATTCAAAGCCACTGTATAATATGATATCCGCACACATTTGATTGCACATTAATTGAATTATTTATTAATAAACCAACTATAGTGTAGCCTCATTTAGATTAATAATGTATATTATTGATGGAGGATTTGTTTATTAGGGGATAAGGGCTTTTACACTAGGCTCGTTTGCTGCGGTCCGAGCCCGAGTGCGTTTGTTCCCAGCGTCCCCCGCAGCGTTGGTCTGGTTTCACACACTCAACTTGATTCTATCGAACCCTTGTGCGTTTGCGTGCATATTACGTCATCGCAAATGTGCAAGGCGCATGATAGAAAACAAAACGCGGGTCAATATTGTGTTTTTTTTATTAATTCGCTGCTATTATGTGCAGTTGAGTGAACAATACAGGTTTACTGTGCGTGTGTCAAATAAGGTGGCCTTCTGCTGCTTGCAAACGGACTCTTTAGAGGAGACAGTGGATTTCCAAATTTGTTGCCCTGATTCCACGCGCAATGCACGAATACACTGCAAGCTCACTCTTGCTCGTACCCAAGGTAAATCATCAACACTATCCTCCCTTACAAGTGTTTTATTTAACTGAATACATCACAATAAGCTAAACGCATGCGCAGGTCACTTTACTTCCTGAACAAGTGCGCACACGAGTCCGTGCTGCTTTCACATTCACGCGAACCGCGGCACGGTTCGGCAGAAACCGAACTCAGACCACCCCCTCCAGGTAGTCTCGGGTTCGGTACCCCAGTGCGCACCCGGGTCCCATGACAGCGTTCACATTAGCGATTTTTCATGCGAACCGTGCCCCGTTCCGAACTAAACTACCAGTGTGAAAGCCCCCTAAAGGTCTGTATTGTAAACTGAGGACCTCTAAACTGATTTGAGATTGGTTTTGTTCAGGAAATGGAGGATATACTAATGGAGGTGCAGCTAACCAACCTAATACAGGTAATACACTGGATATCACCAGCTGTTACAATATTCTCTGACACACACAGGTTGAATATCCAAACACAGCTTTTATTTAGGGTAATCCACAGTCATAATTCATAAACAGGCACAGGGTCAAAAACGTGCAAACAATCCAAACATAAAACACAGGCAAACAAGGTAATCCAAAGAAAAGGCAAAAGATCAAAACCAATAACCTGAAAAGAATGCTCAGAATTGCAGTTGTAACCCAAACAAGACTTCGCAACGAATGAGTGGAAACACAGGGCTTATAAAGGCAGAGCTAAACAAGGTAATCACACACAGCTGAACAGAATCATGCATAATGAGCCAGGTAATGAGTACTGGGAAATGGAGTTCATGATGAGGTTGCAAAGGAGACAGAAGATGACACCAGCTCTAGTACAATTATTACAGTGTGGAAAATACTGAATTCTGAAAGGAACTAAGGATATTACACTGGTTTAAAGTACTTTTCTCTAATTAGGCTCTTCTCTTCAAAATATGGGATATCCCAATGGTGGAAACAAGGGACCTAAACCAGGTAAACTATTTGTGTGTGTGTGTAATGTGCATGTTGTGTATTTTTTCCGCTTTGTCTGATTTGTCCATGTCATTTGAATCTTATGTGTTTGGGTCTACTTCAAAGGAAATGGTGCTAAAGCTGGACCCTCAAATGGACAAGGAGCCAAGCCTAATGGTAATGGGTCTCATTCACTAATAATTGCGTAGATTATTTCGTATTAGTACGCACAGGAGAACTTCTCATGAAAAATCTTTGCCTAATTCACAACACGTTCATACAAGCATGAATTTGTTCTTAATATCGTTCTGATGTTAGTAAATTTGGAGTAGCTATTCTAAATGAGCAGCTGCGTTCACAAGGTTAGTCATTTGCATAAAACAAGCCCAAACCATCTCCATAAGGGATTTCCGCACATGCTTTCCTTACAGCCTTTCGTCGCTCTAGTCAAACTTGCCGCTGTTTGCTGACGAGCTCTCGCCCGATCTCGAGCAATGCCTAGTGTGCCATTCTCACGAGTTCTCACAATAAACACCTTTTATACAGACCCAGATTACAGACCTCTCTTGAGCCAGCTGTACACATGCGTATATCTGCGTTATTCAGAAACACCTCGCACCTGAAGCTATAACGCCGCTTTTCTTACTGTTAAACTGTAAAAATAGAATATTTTTTAAGATGAAATTATATTGTATTATTTAATAATTGTATTATGTAATTTTATAAATGGACTATATAATACAATTAATGCAACATACTTCCAAGTTCAATATAATTTTAGTCGTGTTAGGATGATATATAACTTGACACGATTATAAGGCCGTACATAGTAAGTGTTTTTTTGTGTATATGTGGTTTCAGCTCCTATATTTTTTCGTAAATTTAGAATAAATATTATTAAGAAATTTTTGGTAAATCGTTATTTCTTCTTAAAATCGTTTGTGCTCACATTTCATGCACAAATTAGAGTGCCACTTAGTGAATCAGACCAAATATTACTATTATAAAACCGTTTATGACTATAAATTCCAGTTGGATAAGCCGCGTTCAAGGCCACTGTAAAATATATGATATCAGCACACCTTTAGTTTGACTAAACATTAATAGAATTTCTTTATAATACACCAACTGTAGTTTAAACCCCATTTAGATTAATAATCTGTTTTATTGGTGGAGAAGTTGTTTATTAGAGGTAAAGCACTAAAGGCCTGTATTGTAAACTGAGGTAACTGAGAAACTCTGAACTGATTTAGGATTGGTTTTCTTCAGGATATGGAGGATATCCTAATGGAGGTGCAGCTAACCAACCTAATACAGGTAATACACTGGATGTCACCAGCTCTTGTGCAATTAGTTAAGTGTGGAAAATACTGAATTTTGAAAAGAACTGAGGATATTAAACTGGTTTAAAATATTTTTTTCTAATTAGGCTCTTCTCTTCAATATGTGGGGTATCCTAATGGTGGAACCAAGGGACCTAAACCAGGTAAACGCATATTTGTATGTGTTATGCATATAGTGTGTATTTATTTTTTCTCTGTCTGATTTTTCCGCATCATTTGAATGTTATGCGTGTTGTGTCTGCTTCAAAGGATATGGTGCTAAAGCTGGACCCTCAAATGTACAAGGAGCCAAGGCTAATGGTAAATAGCATGGAATTATTACTAGTAACACATATTTTTTGGCTCTAAAATCAGGTTGGATAAGCCATGTTTAAAGCCACTGTAAATATATATCTGCACACCTTTAGTTTGATTGCACAATTGAATTCTTTATTAATGAACCAACTGTAGTGTAGCCCCATTTAGATGAATAATCTATATTATTATTGGTGTAGTTGTTTGAGTAAAGCACTAAAGGTCTTTATTGTAAACTGAGGTAACTGGAGAACCTCTAAACTGATTTGAGATTTGTTTTGTTCAGGATATGGAGGATATCCTAATGGAGGTGCAGCTAACCAACCTAATACAGGTAATACTCTGGATGTCACCAGCTCTATAGTGTAATTATTATGATGTGGATAATACTTAAATCTGAAAAGAATGAGGATATTACACTGGTTTAAAGTACTTTTCTCTATGTAGGTTCTTCAGTTCAAAATATGGGATATCCCAATGGTGGAACCAAGGGACCTAAACCAGGTAAACGCTTATTGCGTGTGTTATATAGTTCAAGTTCATTTTATTTATATAGCACATTTTACAACAGCCACTGGCTGACCAAAGTGCTTTACAGAACAGCAGAATTAAAAGAAAATAATACCTGCATAACAGCACAACACAAATAAGCGCAGCAAAGCTAAGAGCAGCCTTAAAACAGGAGTAGCGAAACAGTATTAGACTCAAATTTAAAATAGTTCAAACAGAAGTGGCAAAACAGTATCAGACTCAAATATAAAATAGTAAAACAGAGATGGCAGTATCAGACTCAGATAAAAAAAATGGAAAAACAGTATCAGACTAAAAAAAATAGTAAATCAGATGTGGTGGCAGGGCAGTAGCAGACTCAAATATATAATGGAAAGAACCAGGGGTGGCAAAAACAGTATCAGACTCAATGGAAAATATTAAAACCAACCAACCTTAATTATAGGCCATGGAAAACAAGTGCGTTTTTAGAAGAGACTTAAAAGTGATCACGGAAGGGGCTATCCTAATTTCTTACTGCAAATTGTTCCACAACCGTGGCCCGACCACAGAAAATGCTCGATCCCCTCTGTGTTTGAGTCTGGAATGTGGGACTAATAACAGGTTCTTGTCCCTTGATCTCAGACTTCTAAAAGGAGTATATGGTTGCAGCAGTTCAGATAGATAGATGGGGGTTTGGTTACGTAGAGATTTAAAAAACATATAAAAGGATTTTAAAATCAGTTCTGAAATTAATGGGCAGCAAATGAAGTGACCTCAGAATAGGGGTGATATGAGCGATTTTACGGCTATTAAAAATTAATCTTGCAGCAGCATTGTGCACTAATTGAAGACGAGCAATTTGAGACTTTGAAATCCCGCCGTAAAGTGAATTGCAGTTGCCTAAACGTGAGGTGATAAAAGCATGAACAGCCATCTCTAGAGTTTTATGATTAAGAAAAGGTTTGAGTTTAGACAGCAGACGAAGTTGATAAAAACTAGAGCCTATTACAGAGGAAATTTGTTTGTCAAAGTTTAAAGATCTAGTAAAACGCCCAGGTTCCGTACACGTGAAGATCTGAAAGCAGATAGTCTGCCTAGGCCCTAGATCGAAGGTAGCAGCCTGAGAATTAACAGTGGGCCCAAAAACGATCACCTCGGTTTTGTTTTCATTTCTAAGCCAGCCAAGATTTAACTTCATCTAGGCAACTTAGTAATGATGAAAAAGCAAAAGGATAATTTCTCTTGATTGTTAAATATATTTGTGTATCGTCCGCATAACAGTGAAAAGATTCCCAGTGTCTTCTTAGAATGGTGCCCAATGGTAACATATACAGAGAAAAGAGAGAAGGTGCCAAGATAGATCCTTGAGGAAGACCACAGGTTAGAAGTGCAACAGAAGAGGAAATATTGCCTAACTTTAATAGGAAATTTCGATCAGAGAGATAGGACTGGAACCACTGGAGAACGATACCTTTTATCCCCACATAATACTCTAGTCTGGATATCAGGGTAGAGTGGTCAACAGTGTCAAAGGCTGCTGATGGATCTAAGAGTACAAGAACCACAGAGTCACCAGTGTCAGTGGAGAGATAAATGTCATTTAAAACTCTCAAGAGGGCAGATTCAGTACTGTGAGTAGACTTAAAACCAGATTGAAATCTTTGAGAAATTCCATTGAACTTCAGAAAAAAAACTGGAGTTGGTCAAAAACTTTTTTTTTTTCCAACACCTTCGAAACAAACGAAGTGCAGAAATAGGATGAAAGTTGTTTGGAACAGCAGGATCAAGTGAAGGCTGGAGTGTGTATTTCTTTTTCTCTTTTCTATTTATTTATCGTTTGTGTGTATGGTCTGCTTCAAAGGATATGGAGCTAAAGCTGGGCCCTCAAATGGACAAGGAGCCAAGCATAATGGTAAATACCATGTGATTATTACATGCTATAGTTTTGGCTCTAAAATCTAGTTAGCTAAGCTGTTTTAGAAGCCACTGTAAAATATGATATTCACACACCTTTGATTTCACATTGAATTCTTTATTATTAAACCAACTGTAGTGTAGCCCCATTAATAATTAATTATAATTAATAATGTATATTATTAGTGGAGGAATTGTTTATTAGGCACTAAAGGTCTGTATTGTAAACTGAGGTAACTGGAGAACCTCTAAACTGATTTGAGATTGGTTTTGTTCAGGATATGGAGGATATACTAATGGAGGTGCAGCTAACCAACCTAATACAGGTAATACACTGGATATCACCAGCTCTAGAGCAATTATTACAGTGTGGAAAATACTGAATTCTGAAAAGAACTGAGGATAGTACACTTGATTAAAGTATTTTTTCTCTAATTAGGCTCCTCACTTCAAAATATGGGGTATCCCAATGGTGGAACCAAGGGACCTAAACCAGGTGAACTATTTGTGTGTGTGTAATATGCATGTTGTGTTTTTTTTTCTTGTTTTTTTTTTCTTCTGATTTTTCCGTATCATTTTAATCTTATGTGTGTTGCGTCTGCTTCAAAGGATATGGTGCGATAGCTGGACCCTCAAATGGACAAGGAGCCAAGCCTAACGGTAAAGAGCATGACTGTGATTATTACTATTATAAAACATGGTTTTTGGCTCTAAAATCTGGTTGGATAGGCTGCTTTTGAAGCCACTGTAAAATATGATATCCGCACACATTTGACTGCACATTAGTTGAATTCTTTATTAATAAACCAACTGTAGTGTAGCCCCATTTACATTAATGATGTATATTATCGGTGGAAGAGTTGTTTATTAGGGGATAAAGCACTAAAGGTCTGTATTGTAAACTTGAGGTAACTGGAGAACCTCTAAACTGATTTGAGATTGGTTTTGTTCAGGATATGGAGGATATCCTAATGGAGGTGAAGTTAACCAACCTAATACAGGTAATACACTGGATATCACCAGCTCTAGTGCAATTATTACAGTGTGGATAATGCTGATTTCTGAAAAGAACTGAGGATATTACGCTTGATTAAAGTATTTTTCTCTAATTAGGCTCCTCACTTCAAAATATGGGGTATCCCAATGGTGGAACCAAGGGACCTAAACCAGGTAACACAAAAAAGTTGTGTAATGCAAATGCATATAGAGTGTATTTATTTTTACTTTGTCTGATTTTTCTGTATTATTTGAAATCTTATGTTTGTTGGGTTTGCTTCAAAGGATATGGTGCTAAAGCTGGACCCTCAAATGGACAAGAAGCCAAACCTAATGGTAAATAGAATGACATCATTACTATTATAAAACATAATTTTTTACTCTAAAATCAGGTTGGATAAGCCGTGTTCAAAGCCACTGTAAAATATGAGATATCCGTGCATTAAGTGAATTATTTATTTATAAACCAATTGTAGTGTATTCCCATTTAGATTAATAATTTATATGATTTAAGTTTTTATAGGGGTAATGCACTATAGGTATGTAGACACGTGTTGTATGTTGTTTTTTAATATTCTACCTTTTTAAAACCATATTCTACATATTTCAGTGTACAGAATTTCAGGGACAGTTTTAAACAAACAAACTCTACATCGTCAAATGTAAAACCTGCTATAACATATTACATATCTTGTGATCTATAGGTTATGGTGTTCCTGGCTATATGTCAAAAGGACCATATAAAGCAGCTAATTCAGGTAAAATCATGATTATTTAAAGTGGATTGTATTTACTTCCTCCACATGACATGAATAGAAGTTCTGTCATTAAGAAATGCATGTTATGTCTCGGCATGTGAGTTTGTCATATTGACTTGTAAATGTAAATTTGTAGTAAAATTGCTTTGGCTTCTAGGTTATATGCCTGTAACAACTGGAAAACAGGGTGTTTCCAGTGGAAATGGACCTAAAGGAGAGATTTTAAGCCCTGAAGGACAAAGTCATCTCTCGGTAACATCTAACACCAAGGGCTTTTTACCACTATCTGGACGTGAGCCAAATACAGGATTACTTCCAGAACAAACTAAAGACCTTTCACCAGTTCTGCAACAAACAAAGGGACAAAATCTTCATCCACAGGGCAAAGCCCCCAACTCTATGGCACCTTGGCCTGCTTCAAAGCCATTTATGCAAGGTCCCGGTTCATATAAACCTAGTAAAGCTTATAAACCAAAACCAGTTGCAACAGTAGTCCCTCAATCAGTCTCTGCAGAATCAGCTCCCATTCCTCAAACATCACAGACAGTTGCACTAGAGCAGGAACAAGTCCTTTCACAGCAACAAAACATAAGGCCAGTGTTACCACAATCCAGTATTTCTTCAAGGGCGCCGTTAGTGCCAGGATCAGCTCAATCAACTCCAGAGATGCAACAATCCAAGATTCAATCAAACAAGCCTGTGCCTCAAATGAAGAATCCAATGACAAATCCTGGTAAACTTTTATAGTTTCAAATTAAAGTCTTATATGATATCCTGAAACCATATAACAGCTGGAAGCTACACCACTTCTGCAACATTTAACTAAATCACAACTGTATAAAATTCCCTTATTCCCCCTTTCTCTACTTTTCTGCATCAATTCACTGGCAGCTTTTGTACTAAAAATGTTGTTCACATTTTTAAATTATTTGTGTTATTGCAGATAAATTGTGATTAATGTAAATGTTATCTCAAAATGGCTAATGGATATTTACTATAACTATCAGAACTTACCTTCTGCTGTCAGCTTGAAGTCAAAATATTCTTAGCTCTTTTTGGACTAATCTTTGTGTGATATTGTTGTAAACTTTGGTGCTAAACTCTACTTTGGCATTACACATTTTAGATTTTAGAACCATTAAATGCTTCTACGCACAACCGGCGCTGTGTCATAGAATGTCTCTGAAAAGGTTCACGCCCACTTTTGGGGGAAATAAACTAGCCTTCCCAGGCATAGACTTCAATACAAAATAGCGTCACAAAACAACGTCCGTACACAGCAGACAGGCGTGAATAACTTAAGAAATCACTAAGATTAAACATGTCAAGTAATTATATGTCCACCCTGTCTGCCATAGAGCGTGAACGATACATCAACCAACTTAATTTGGTCAATTTAAAAACATGTCCCTTCATTCTCCCAGCCTCAAATTATTTATTTTAATAATTAATTATTTTACTGTCTATGGTAACAACCCCACCCAGTGGCCAGAGGTGTCTTTCCCGGACATTTACTCGTAGTCGTACCTCATCGAGTCACCATGGTAAGCCAGTGAATGATTACTTCGTTTTTGAATGTAAGCATGTTTAAATGTATATATTATGTCTTATAATATATCTTATAATATATATAACCCCTTTGGGGGGGTTGTTACATCAATTTGACGCTGGGAGAATAAAGGGACATGTTTTTAAATTGACCAAATTAAGTTTGTGTATGTATCTTTCAAGCTCTATGGCAGGCAGGGTGGACATAATTACTTGACATGTTTTATATAATTGATTTCTTAAGTTATTTACGCCTGCCGGCTGTGTACGGACGTTGTTTTTTGCCGTTATTTTGTATTGAAGTCTATGGAAAGTCTAGTTTGTTTTCTCCCAAAAAGGGGCGGGGACGAAATTGACAGTTAAGTTCCCGGATGTGCCGGTTGGCGTCTACATTGGATTGATAGCCTTCAAAAACTTTTACTAAGTAAATTTCACAATGAGCAAGTAGACTTAGGCTGGATTTTTATTTTCTGATTTAATCAGTCCATATGGTAACGAGCAAATAGGTGGACATTTTGATCCCTACTAGATTTCTAGAAGATGGCTGTGATGCAAAGAAAATGTTCAGTCATTGATTAGCATAAATTCAAAATATCTATTGTACAAATTGTTCATAAATGCATGCTTATGCATTTACAAGAAATGTGGGGCATACATATTTACCCTCCACCACCCAACAGTATCTTTAACAAATTAACTAGACACATTTAATAAAACCCTGAATTTTCAATCTTTATTGATAACTTGTTTGTTTTCTACAGAACTCACTCGTCTAGGACAACCAAATGGACAGATGCAGGGAGCTATACCTTCAAAGCCTGGTAAATCCTAAATAATAATCCATTGATATAACATAAAATCACATTAAATTAGCTGCCCTTATAACCCAAAACTACATTTGGATTAATATCAAACTATTTTTTTTTTAGATTGTGGACCTGGAGGACAACCTAATGGACAATGGGTCAAACTTCCAAGTCCTGGTGAACTCTCATTTTTCCCCCACTTGTTTGTCATATAAATGATAAATTATTGTCAATGCTTACCAAAAATCTTAATGTTTTAAAGACACCATTCAATAAAAATAAGAGATTTTGGTGTCCATTTTAGTCCATGTCAGTTTGCTTTGACTTAACAGTTGTGAAGACCAAGCAAAAAATAAGCATTCAGTCTAAAACTAAAAATGTGTTTTACAGGGTATCCAAATGGAAAGGGAGCAGTTGCATCACAACCAGGTGCATTCAATTCCATATAAACATTAACTATCCATCTAACCATAACAGCATTTTAACCACTTTGGATAAAAATATTTACTAGGCTTTGGAGCAGGAATGGGTGGTTATCCAGCTCATGGTATAAACAATGGCTACAAAGCAGGTAAAGCATTACAAAACACATTTTATTGTAATTATAATCACTTATTATTTGGCTTCATCTTTGCAAAGTCTGAAAAAATGTGGCCCTCATTTTGCTGTCTTTACAGGTTATGGAGGCTATGGAAACAAATTGAAAAATCCAGGTTGGAATATTTTCTACTTCATGGATATTTCAAATATCATTTTTTCAACATGAACACAATTCACATATGCATTTATTAAATATATGCTTTAGTCCTTGGGTGTCAATAGTCTGGACCTTTTTAGTGCAATACTATATCCTTCAACGAAATAAATAATAAAGAGATATCGATAAATAAAAATGTAGATATGAATGCTTTTAAGTTTTGCTTAAATAAATAAATAGGTCTCCGTTTTAAAACTTTGAGAATTTTTTTTTTGTATATACACCAAGTAAAATTACAACCGTATCTCTGTGAATAATTACAGTACTTTCTTTACCCTTGTGACTCAGACTGTAGTTCTGCTTACTAATATAGTAAACACTGTATTCTGCCTACTATTTAAAAAAAGTGAAACAGTATGCCATATGCTACGATAAACGTTTCACTCAGTAGTATGCTACATTTCACAAGACCTGTTTAAGTGAATTTGTGTGTAGTAAGTAAGTTTTTTGCCCTCTTGTTTTCTGTGCTAGACATTTAGAAAAAAAAACTGTTTGATTATATATTCATTAATATTTACTCTTTTCGGTTACTCTGATAGCTGGACCACAAGGTGAGCAACCAACAGGATTTAAGGGAAAATCTCAAGCGAAATATGGTTAGTGTGAGGAAAATCCTATCAGCTCATATTAAAACGACTCATCAAAAATGCTGCACTCTTACATTTACTCAGTTTTCATAAGCCAGGTCGTATTTTTACAGGAATTGGCGGACTTCCATTTGGTGGTTCCCCCAATGGATATCAAACAAACCCCTCTGGACAATATGGTATGCTATCTTTATAATGTTTGAGTCAGTATTGACCCTAACTGTAATCCTGACTGGACACATGGATTTATGTGCATCTTTCTCATAGGTAATGATGGTCAGCGCTATGGAGCCAAACCCTACAATCCTAAAGCGTTAGGAAAATACGGTGAAGATTAGATGCTTTGATATTCCTTTACACTTTTTCATAACTTTTTGTATGCATTTATCAGTTGACAGGCAGTTTGTAGCATTTCACTACAGATTGTGGTAGAAATTAACATTTACTTTAATAAAAAAAAAAAGATTTGCGATAAAACACATTTATTTAAATTTTACAAAATGTATGTTTAAAATTTTTATTCTTTAAGATCTCTACCCTTGCATTTTAAAACATTATATAGAATGCGGTTAAATATATATATATATATATATATAATTCTGTTCTCTGACCCCAAAATAGGACATGGTAGTTTACCGTACAACTCTCAGCCTTTACTTCCTGAATCTGTTGCCAAGTCCCCTGGTAAATATAGTAAGTTAATAAAGAATTGTGTCTGATCATACAGCACATCTTTTTTTTTTTTTTGAAGATATTGTAAAATATAAGTTTCTGTATTTTCAGATTTTGGAGGGTTACCCTACAATGGCCAGCCACTTGGATATGGTAGTGACAAATACTTTGGCAAATATAGTGACTGCTATTTCTTTTCCAACTTATATTGTCTTATTTCTAGAAATTATGACAGTGAGTATGTTTTACTGTAATTCTCTCTCAGGACAAAAGGGTCTTCAATATGGTGGTCAGCCACTTGATCTCAGGCCTGATGCTGTGTCTGGAAAATATGGTGAAGGTGAGTTATTGTTTTTATAGATAATTAAATGACAATGCCACTAATGTCATAATATCACTGTACTGATAGGTATGTCCATCCTCTCTACTCTCTGTAGGTTCTCCAGAATCCCTGTATAATCCAGAAACACTCAGTTTCGGTGGCGATGCTAACTATGGTGCGATTTTTTTGGCATCTTTCAACTTACTTATTGATACTCTAGTTTAAAGATCCTCTTCATCATTGCTTCACATGTGAATTGTCAAATGGCATACAGTTAGGCTAACGAGAAAGTTATAATTGTTTTGTACTTACTCTTGGTAAAATCACTGTATGGTTTACAGGTAATCCAGCAGTGTCATATGAACTCCTTGGCCCAGTGACTGATGGCCAGTCTGTTGATGGTACGTTCATCTCCTATTTATTTAGAACACTATTTATTAATCAAGCAAGAACTACTGAAATACTTTGTTGTAATTTCATAAGTTAAATGAAGAAAATGTTAAATGAAGAGATTGTTATCATTTGAATTTAAACTCAGAAGTTTTAATGCTATCATTTAATCCTCTTTTTTTTTTTACAGAAAACAGAAGCCTGGAGGCTTTGCATCAAGGTCCTGAGATTGACGGACAGAAATCCATTGACCAATATGGTTAGTTGTATTTTGAGATATTCAGATATCTATGTTCATTTAAGTTAGGCTGTGTTTACACTGGTATTTTGTACTGTAGTAAACATGTGTAAACAGAAAGATTTGCATTTGATTCTGGGGTTTTTTCTTATCTGTTCTGAGCCACATGCAAATGTGGTTTTAAATGAGATGCATATCTGATATCTGGACATTTGACCTACTGTTAAACACGTATTTACGATTCCCATTGGAAATCCAAGCCACCACAAGGCTAGGGAAACATTTACCCACAAAGAAAACTTTTCTTCCTCTCATATTATGATATACTGTAGACATTCCTGATGTGCTCACAGAAAAACACAGCTTCTTTTGAGGTGAACATTTTATATATAAGACTGCGCACACACAAAAACATTCAGAAGCACAGAACCTTATTTTGAGCTGCAGCCCTGTGAATTTAATAAATAAAACAGCTTCGCTACTGAACGCTACATTACATTTAATAGCAACAAGGTGATAACTTTGCTGTTTTGGAAGTAATTAAACTTCACTATAAAGACGCTGCACAGACGCAGTAATTCCCACACAGTCTCTTCTAAAAATCTCATGAATTCCGATATGACTGTTATAAGACTGAGGTCACATTGCAAAACCTCGGACCTGTATGATCAGACTTAGGACCACATATGGAAGTGGCCCAAATCAGAATCGAAAAGATCATATTCCATGTGGTTTGTGCTGTTCACACTGTCATGACAAAAACAGATCTATGTCACATATGAAAAAAAAAGAAATGAAAAAACCTTCACACTGCAAGCCTTATGGCTGGTTCACACAGAACACTCTTTTGCTGTTAAAAATCCGAGAAGCAGTGGAATGGGGAAAAACCGCAAGGTCACGAGATGTCTTAAAACTTATTTTAACTTGAGCACCGCGTTTTTAGAACACCGTGTCATGCGTGAGATGCAAAACGTGAGCGCAACAGTCAAACACGTCCTTCTGGCGCATGTTTACATAGAAAAATAATGGAAAAGTGGTGCGGTGGAATGGAACTGGTCGTGTTACTGAACTGAACCACATGCACAAAAGAACACTAACAAAGGCAGCCACAGCAAGCTGTCATATGGAAGAAAACATGGAGGCCACTGAAGGACGCAGACGAGGATGAGGAGAAATAGAGCAAAGTTTTTCTCGTATAGTTTTCCCTCATGTTTCGCCTATAGAGCTGTTACCGTAATATATTTGTGAATATAACCGCTCACTCCACTGACTAACTTTGCTGCCATCTACCATTTTCCATATTCACACATTAATTCTGTGTGTTTGTGCTTGATTCAGGAGATGGAGAGGTTCCACCCCATCCTGATGCTCCAGAAGCTGGAGATGCAAATGCAGAACCCATTGAGAAATATGGTACAAGCATTTTTTTGACACTATGTATATCTACCAGAATGAGGTGTGTAAATCTGCATATAAACATCTCTCACCCTCTTTGTTCAAGGAACTGGGGATTATACAAATGGAAGAGTACAACCAGAAGGTAAAAGTAATGTTCAAAAGTCTGCTTCTCTGAATGTATTGTTATATACACTCACCTAAAGGATTATTAGGAACACCATACTAATACTGTGTTTGACCCCCTTTCGCCTTCAGAACTGCCTTAATTCTACATGGCATTGATTCAACAAGGTGCTGAAAGCATTCTTTAGAAAAATTGGCCCATATTGATAGGATAGCATCTTGCAGTTGATGGAGATTTGTGGGATGCACATCCAGGGCACGAAGCTCCCGTTCCACCACATCCCAAAGATGCTCTATTGGGTTGAGATCTGGTGACTGTGGGGGCCATTTTAGTACAGTGAACTCATTGTCATGTTCAAGAAACCAATTTGAAATGATTCGAGCTTTGTGACATGGTGCATTATCCTGCTGGAAGTATCCATCAGAGGATGGGTACATGGTGGCCATAAAGGGATGGACATGGTCAGAAACAATGCTCAGGTAGGCCGTGGCATTTAAACGATGCCCAATTGGCACTAAGGGGCCTAAAGTGTGCCAAGAAAACATCCCCCACACCATTACACCACCACCACCCGCCTGCACAGTGGTAGCAAGGCATGATGGATCCATGTTCTCATCCTGTTTACGCCAAATTCTGACTCTACCATCTGAATGTCTCAACAGAAATGGAGACTCTTCAGACCAGGCAACATTTTTCCAGTCTTCAACTGTCCAATTTTGGTGAGCTCTTGCAAATTGTAGCCTCTTTTTACTATTTGTAGTGGAGATGAGTGGTACCCAGTGGGGTCTTCTGCTGTTGTAGCCCATCCGCCTGAAGGTTGTGCATGTTGTGGCTTCACAAATGCTTTGCTGCATACCTCGGTTGTAACGAATGGTTATTTCAGTAAAAGTTGCTCTTCTATCAGCTTGAATCAGTCGGCCCATTCTCCTCTGACCTCTAGCATCAATAAGGCATTTTCACCCACAGGACTACCGCATACTGGATGTTTTTCCCTTTTCACACCATTCTTTGTAAACCCTAGAAATGGTTGTGCGTGAAAATCACAGTAACTGAGCAGATTGTGAAATACTCAGACCGGCCCGTCTGGCACCAACAACCATGCCACGCTCAAAATAGCTTAAATCACCTTTCTTTCCCATTCTGACATTCAGTTTGGAGTTCAGGAGATTGTCTTGACCAGGACCACACCCCTAAATGCATTGAAGCAACTGCCATGTGATTTGTTGATTAGATAATTGCATTAATGAGAAATTGAACAGGTGTTCCTAATAATCCTTTAGGTGAGTGTATCTGTAAATATCTATATAATCGCAGGATTTATTAATGGTGCCGACCAGGGTCAGAAATGAACTTTGCCCCCCCCCCCCCCCCCCCCCCTGTAATTGATTTCCAGTGAGTTTTTTGTTTTGTTTTTTTTTTATGATGAGATAAAGCAGATGGAAGGAGTGTCCTCTGGTGAAGATCATGGGCACTCCAGCTGGTGGTTGTGAATTAGTTTATTGCTTATTACACATTAGATAATCAATACTTCACATTGTTTTTATTAAGTAGCATGAACAATAACAGTTTATTCCCAGTTTTAATAACTATCTACAGAAAAATAAACCTTTTTTACAAAAAAAAAAAAACATCATCTCTGGAGCGTCTCTTATCGCAAAAACTATTATAATCACTAAGCTGTTTACACTGCTAAATGAATGTCTTACATCATGACTCCGCCGTTTTCAGCCATGAATAATCTAAACGCCTCTGATTGGCTATTGCATTTTTAAAATCAACAGAAATGTGATTGGTTATAATGCACAATGCTGCAAAATGATTTCACTTGAATCGCAACAGTCGTAATTGATTTACCTAAATTGTAGAGGGGCATTTTTTGCCACTTAATCTTGAATTTGCGGGACATTTTTGTTCATTTTGGTGGCATTTTTGTCCCAAACCCAAAAATGTCTGACCCTGCTGCTGTTGAACTATCCTCCCATATATTCTTCCATTTCAAATATATCGAGAGAGAACTTGAATCCATGTCTTTCTTGACTGTCCTGCAGTTGTCTCATTCCCTGGTGTTCCCACTGTGGGCCCCGCTCCTCACATCCCTGCTGTCACCTCATTAGACGCCACCCTTTCACTGGACGGCTCCTCAACGGTCCCAGTCTCTGTGCCTGATGTGTACGCTGTTCCTGTCTCACCCATAATCCCTCAGCCTGAGCTGCCCACTCTAATGCTGCAGCCCTCACCACAACAACAGATCCACATCCAGCAGCACCTCAAGTTCCACATCCAGCCCAATGGAGACTCGCAGACAGGTGAGATGCTAATAAACGCACTCTTGTGATCAACACATTTAATTTTATTGTGCAGAGTTGTTTTGCAACTGACAACAGCTATTAATGAACTATATTAATCATTTCAGAATAGTCTCTTAAACATATTATTATTATTGTGTAACTATATATTTATTATTGACATTTTTATCATATTGTTGTCAACGCAATATAAGCTACGTAACATTTTCCACCGATTTAATGGTGCATTAAGCGATTTCTGAGAAACACTGTTAAAAGTGGATCAGACCGAGCACCAAAACACACTTGTAGCCAATCAGCAGTAAGGGGTGTGTCCACTTATGAGGGGGGAGGAGCCTGTGCTGTAGTGTGTTTGTGAATTCGGTGGGGCGGAGCTATCAAGATAAGGGTGTGATCCTTTTGAGTAAGGGCATGTTTGTTTATTTAGCCATATTTTTAAACTTTGTGCATTTAAAAGTTGGTTCTTTTTAACAGGAAAGGAAGGCAAATACAAATTGAGTGGATTCTTTGGAAATAAATACCAAGGTAAGGGTAATGTGTATACACATTTAACATTAATAAAACCTACAATAATAATATATTATTATTTTATATATGAATAATAATAATAATGTGGCTTTTTTTCTAACCCATGCCTCCCTTTTTTTCTTAGGATAATTTTGAAGTGGAAGTTGTTGCTGCAAGAATGTGTATCTTCACTTGATTGCTCTTTTTTTTTACACAATGTTTCTGTGAATGTTGTACATTTTCGGTCATTTTATTTGAGTATTTTGTTCTCCTTGTATTTTAATGTATTGTTAATATTTGTTACCTTGCCATAAAAATAAACAGCTGCTTGTACAAATAAAGACATTTTAGATGAAATATAATTATATCTGATGCATCTTTTTTCTTTTTAAATTCCATAATTCCAAATAAATCCATGTTTCTTGTATTTTATGTTTTATGCATTTCCGTTTTATGTAGAAGTGTTTTTTTTTTCTTCTAGAAGCCACTGTTATTTATTTCTGTTTAATTTCCTGTGGCAAGGCTATGTATGGTTTTGAATAAATACAAACTCTAAATCCAACCCTCGTTTAAATATTTCATTTAAATCCAGTTTTACCTGGATTTTAGGGTAGCTTAAAGAACATTTTTGGGATTATCATATTTACAGTTTCTGAAATAAATGTCAGTAAAAAGCAGATGTGTCGAAGTCTACCACCAGACTAGTGTTTGTACTTAAGGACCTGTAATCTTCCATGAGCTCGCCTCTGCTGAGCCTGACTGCTTCATGCTGATTGGCTACGACAGTAAGTAGCAGTAAATTGGCCCACAGCTTCTCTGCAAGCAACACGTTGCTGCAGTTCTACTACCTGGCAGTACTTCCAAGACAATGGGTATCTTAATAAGTAACTTTTACCATCACTAGTAAGCTAAAACTAGCTAGTTAGCTAAACCTAGCTGACTATGCATTTATAGCTTGATTTAAGAAATTTGAAGAGATTACAGGCTTTCCTCCCAAAGGAAGATGAAAGTGGTCAAGGACATGCGAGCATATTTAACTTTTTCTGCTATGGATTTTTTTACTGGGCCAAAACTTCTGGATTTTAAGAATTCACCACCACATCTTCAGTTCAACAAATATGTCCTGAAAGGATACCGGCCTATATCCACTTACAGAGACTGTCTGCGAAGTTTGTTCTATCTGCATAATGAACTTGGGAACATCTATACACATGGTATGGAGGAAAAGAAAAAAAAAAACTTGCGTAATTTGTACTGTAATGTCTAGAAATTGTTTAACATTTGATCACCTGTAAACTTAGGGAGCTATAAAGTAATTTTGTGGATGTTAAATTCAATTTATAATTCTTGCATTTTACCACTGATGGGAGAGTTACTGAAACAAGGTTCGGGGAAGCACCCATGCACAGAAGAGGGAAACCTTGTGAAGATGTAATTTAGGGCTACTTTCTCTACGGTTCACTCAGTAACACTGTTCAGAAGGGCTCGTAAATAGCATTACGTGGGATTACATCTAATCCGGGTTAGAGAATTGCTGCATTGGAAGTGATAATGTATAATTGCTGTGAACAGTAAAAGTGCAGTAAAAATTCGGCGGGCCTATATTTTGGAAGGAACTAAAAACAGTTTTTTGGAATTTAATGGATTTTCTTTGGAATTCTAGTGGACTTTATAGAATTAAGTAGTAACGCATTTAAAGCATTGTATGTCTTCCTGTTAAAAAGACATGTTAACCCTATAAAGCCTACCCTACTGTATCATATTTCATATGCAAATTTCTAAGGCCTCTAAAATACCTTCTGTCCTCTGACTGATAGTTCATGCTTTTTTTTAGGAAGTAAAAAGCATTTTAGTAAAATTCTAAATGTCTTTTTGCTGTGAAATCTAAAATAACTTTTACATCATTAGTAATATTTCAAGATGAACACACACAGGACTGAAGCTTTACTTGATTATATTTTTAGAACTCGTGTTAAAATGTATCTAATATGAAACAATATGATACATCTCTCAATCATCATTGTATTGCATTACATCTATATTGTCTGTTTTGCCCCCCAGAATAAAAACTACAAATATCACCTTAAGACACATAAAACGCATATAGATATCAGTTGTCACCCAATAATGTAAGTAGTTTGCTGTACTATAATGATGTGATTTACATTACAAGCTATCAAAATTTCATCTTTTGGGCCATGTAAAAATCAGCAACTGCATCAAATTGCATATTTTGTCTCAATAACTCAAGTCTAATTGGTTGATTGGAATGTTGTTCCAGGAACATGTACCTGGTGAAATCTGGAACTGCCATATGGTAACATGTTTTTTTTTTTTGTCCATAAGGTATCCCCTTCATCTGTTTTTTGCTATTTTTGCCTGTGAATATCCCATGGGCTGAAGTGGATGAGTGGTGGATTGGTGTGGTGCATTATCTGGCTTGTCTGTCTCCCACCGTTTGTTCAGTCTTCTACCATCTCTTCATGAACCACGAGGGTGGAGCACATATTTATGACACACTGCTGTGTTTCGACATGGTTGGCGTCTGTCTTGTCAACACTCTTGGTGAGTGCCTACCAAATTCAGAATGAAATTTTACGAATTTAGCAAGACTTACAAGAGAGGGACAAAAGCAATAGGTTAGGAAGCAAGCTAGAGAAGAGAAATACAGAGAAGAATCTGTGTCTGTGAAATTGCATTAGTTTATGGGTGTGGGGTGGGGTGGTAAAGTGCTTGTGGAAAAGGTGTGTGTCAGCTGCTTCTTAAAAGATGTGATGGTCACAGCTGTTCAGGTGGAGGATGGCAGCTCAATCCACTAGAGAGGAACAGAAAGAGTGAAAGTTTTGGAGAGTGACTTTACGCCTCATTGTTAAACAAGGCATCGCTCATTCAGTGACCTTAGCTGGCAAAAGGGACTATACAGAGATGACTGTGTTACGGAAGCGTATTGCATTCACTTGAAGAAAAAAATCTACTCTGTTTTTCTGAATTAATGACTTGATTATCTCAAAAACTCAGAAATTCAGAAAAACAGAGCAAAAACTTTTTTTCCATGAAAAATGATCTTGTAATTCTGAGATAATTACCTCGTTAATTCAGAAAAACAGAGCAAAAACTTTTTTTCCATGAAAAATTATCTCGTAATTCTGAGATAATTAACTCATTAATTCAGAAAAACAGAGTAGATTTTTTTTCTTCAAGTGAATGCAATACGCTTCCGTAGTTATACACTTATAGGGAATCATTATTAATTTTATAGGGAATTCCGAAAGAGTCACTTATTTTACGGCCTAACAAATGAATCATCCCTCGTTCCATTGAACGGGCCGTAAATATCAACTCTGCAGCGGATATTACTATCCGAAATATAGTGAAAATACTATTATAAGTAAGGTAACAAGATCAGCAGTTTAAATAAGCACACAACACAAGACACTTCTCTTTAAATAAAAACGAGACTTTATTGAAATATTCTAACAAACAAAACTAATATCTAACACAAACACATTCACACAGATTGCAGAAAGAAAGTGAGGAAAGAATTTGTTTTAAGACAGTGAATTGTTGAAATCTCAAGTTTCTAGCATCCATGGAACCTTCCACTGCACAAAATGTTCTATAGTGTAAAAAGGTCATTTAGATCAAAATGTTTTTTTTTGGAACAAAGAACGCAAAGTTATCATGGATGCAACAATATCAGACAGTATAACAAAATAATTCCAACATCTTGATATACATTATCACACTTTCCTCAATGGTTTACATACAAAGTCCATTTTTCCCAAAACTTGTTACATTTGTCAAATTTGAGCCTTAATATAAATGTAAGCCTCTCCATACTGTATATTTCATTTACGATCCCTAGCCATTGATCCTTAGTTGGAGGATCCACCTGCAACCATTTACGAGTTATTGCTTTCCTACTGCTTGCTAACAATATTTTTAATAAATATTTATCCTTGTCTAAAACATTTCCTGTTTTTTTTTACCTAAATATATAGTAGTGAACGAAAAATCCACCTCTACTCCTATAATTTTCCCAATCTCTGCCACTACTTCTTGCCAAAATAATTTTATTTTTGGGCATGCCCAGAAAATATGATAATGATTAGCCATCGGGGTTTCACATTGTCTCCAGCAAAAGCCACGGCTCTGTGAGCCTGTATGAAGTGCTGTTAATTTGGGAGTTATAAAAAATCTTACTAAATTCTTCCATCCAAATTCCCTCCAGGATCTTGAGTTTGTGGTATCATACATATATCTGTCCAGTCTTCATCTGTTATTTGTGAGTCAGACTCTTTCTCCCATTGTTGTTTAATGTATATTGATGAATGGTTCTTGGATGCTTGTATACTTCCATACAATCTAGAAACCATGCAGCTTTTTGTTATCTCCTAATGTGTACGCATTTGCAGTGGCGGATTTAGCAAATTGGGGGCCCAAGGCGAAGGTAGTATGGGGCCCCCCATCCGATCTTTAAAAGAGAACGAAAATAAAAATAAATTTCATTTTTTGAAAAATAAACCATTAAATGGCACTTTCTGGAGAGTTTTGTGCAAAGAAATATAGAAAAAAAAGTAGGTCTAGCAAGTCTTATATTTCTGTAATTCACACAGATCAAACACAAATATGCTGACTGAATAGATTGCTAGTTGAGAAACACTGCTTTAATTAATGTTTGTATGATGACTTTGTGAAAGGTTAACTAAACAGCATGAACCGTCTTCCTGCTGGCCAGTAGGGTAGAGTGGGGGAAAACGCCCCCCTTAAGGAAAATGTGACATTACTGTGAAACAAAACATAAATGTGACTAGAATTGCCATCCCAGTTTTGAGTGACTATGGCAGGAGAATATTACTAAATATTAAAATTGCTCAACCTGCATAATTATATATATTTTTTGACTGAAAATATTTTTGTACAAGGGGGCGTTTTGCCCCAGCGGTGGGGTAAAACGCCCCCCAAGGTGGGGTAAAACGCCCCCTTTCTTACCAACCAGTTTGCTTCATAGATCAACAGCAAAATAAACATAGTTTTTAATCTCTAAAAGTAAAAGGCAAGTAATGCAACAACATGTATATATACCTATTAATATTTATTTCAGGAATGTACAAAATAGCCAAATTTCTAACATTTTAATATTTTGATTTCTACACTAGGCCTATATGGGGTTGATAATTGATGTAGTATTTGTTCACCACTATCATCAAGAAAAACAGAAAACCCTAAATAAATATTAAACATAAATTATTATATTTAAAGTGAAATATATTCAATAAATGCTCTAAAAGTCACTATATTTTATCATTGGGTCACCTAACCACCTTCCATCATTGCATCCACCAAGCTAGCTAGCTAATGCTCACTTGAGGTAATCTTATCCTGTTTTGTTAAAATATTTTGATTTTATCGCCTAGTTATACTGCATTAAAGTGTAAAATAAAGACTTTG